GGAGAGGTCTGCCACGCCATGTGGTCGCCTCCGGGGCAGGCGGGGATCGAACTCATGCGGAAGTGGCTTTAGTTTCTTAGTGTAGTGCTTTAACCTGCTGCGCCACCAGGGAGGGCCGCAAGTGCTATTATTTTATACCATCATTACTTAACATAAGAAAGCAGTCTAGTGTTGAAAATTCTTGTTTTATGTATCAGTTTGCCACTCCCATTAAAAATATCTAGCAGTTGGCCCTCCCTGGTGGCGCAGTGGGTTAAAGCACAGCACTGAGAATCTAAAGCCACTTCCAATTCCTGCCTGCCCCAGAGGAGATCCACATGGCAAGGCAGACCTCTCCTGATCCGCCCACTGCTCCCCTCAGCAGTGTACTTCATCGATTTGCCTGTTCTGTTCCCCACTCTGTCTCTGGTGAAGCCTCTCACCGCCCCTGAGCCTCTGGCGTGTACCTCAGTTCTGTATGCACAAATAAATAAATCTTAAAAAAAAAAAAAAGATCTAGCAGCTTGGAACAGCAGTATTGTTACACTTAATGTTTGATGAAAATAAATCCATTCTGTGTCTGGCTTTATGTGACCTGTAGCTATATTATGTATGTTTTGAACATTTTTTGTATATTTTAATATTTAAAGACTATCTCTAATATCCAATTGAGTAATCTGCTTAATATGGATAAAAACAAAGAAGAGAAAAACATCATCTTAGGAGAAGCGATATTTTATAAATCAGAAGAATACTAAACAAAAGTATGTTTAGGGCCTCCCTGGTGGTGCAAAGGGTTAAGTCTCAGCACTATGAAGTGGCTGTAGTGGCAGACACTACAGCAGGAGTTGTATCACTAGCCAGACACAGCAGACCTCTGCTGTCTCACCTGCTGCTCCCCTCAGCAGTGTATTTCAGTAGATTTGCCTGTTATGCTCTGTCTCTGGTGAATCCTCTCATTTGCTCTGGCCTATACCCCAGGTCTTTATGCATAAACAAACAAACAAAAGTTAAAAATAGAACCAAAAGTATGTGTAGGGGATATTGAGCTTAGAGTAAAAATAATTGTTGAATGCAGCATGAGCCAGTAAGATGATGCTTTTTATCAATTATATAATTCTTTGGAAGACAAAAATCTATAAATATATAAGTCATTTGTTCATCTAGCCTGGAACTGTACTTGATGGGGGGTTGCCTTCATGGTATGGACTATATAGCTTCCAAAGCAAGAAAAAACATCCGATTTTTCTGTAAGATGCAAATTGTGATGGGCCATGAAGTAAAACATTTAGAGAGATTTTATCAGGAGACATAACACATAAACTTTTTTAATTTTTAATTGTGCAAAGCAGGAAGACTTCTCTGAAGACATGACATTTGTAGTAGTGATACTGCTATTCAAGTGAAATGAGGATTTTTTTTTTTTTAAGATTTATTTATTTGTACATACAGAACTGGTGTACAGGCCAGAGGCTCAAGGGCAGCGAGAGGCTTCACCAGAGACAGAGGGGGGAGCAGAACAGGCAGATCAACAAAGTACACTGCTGAGGGGAGCAGCGAGTAGGTCAGGAGAGGTCTGCCGTGCCATGTGGTCACCTCCGGGGCAGGCGGGGATCAAACTCATGCTGAAGTGGCTTTAGCTTCTTATTGCTGTGCTTTAACCCACTGCACCACCAGGGAGGGCCATGAGGATGGTTTTAAGGTGCTGAGAGGGGGAGATAGTCCAGGTAAAGTATGGCATAGAGGTTCCCTGGAGGAAAGGGTGACTTCAGGAGCACAATTTTGGGACATACCAGGTTTCTAAGACAAGTAGACAGTTGTATGTATGGACTAAAATATATAAAATTTGAAATTGTATACAGAAATGTTATTTAAAGCCATGATAATGAGATTGCTTAAGGCTAATGTGTAGTGTGAAATAAAATCCTGACACACTCCAGCATTTAAGGGGAACTGACACACTCCAGCTGGGGGGACTGACATGGGGGCTAAGGTGTATACAGTGAGCTTGGTAGAAAACCAAGACAGGATAATGTCAACATTGCTAGTTGGAGTCTTTCATCTAAATGAAAGGTTGGATAAAAATTGAAAGTTTCAGCCCTCCCTGGTAGCGCAGTAGGTTAAAGCACAGCACTGAGAAGCTGGAGCCACTTCCACATGAGTTTGATTCCCGCCTGCCCCGGAGGAGACCACATGGCGCGGCAGACCTCTCCTGACCTGCCCGCTGCTCCCCTCAGCAGTGTACTTTGTCAATCTGGCTGTTCTGCTGCCCACTCTGTCTCTGGTGAAGCCTCTCGCTGCCCCTGCATCTCTGGCCTGTACCCCAGTTCTGTTTTAAAATTAAAAAAAAAAAACAAACTGAAAGTTTCATTGGATCAGGCAACAAGAATGTTAACAGGGACCTTGGCTGAAGCTCTTTTGATGGAATAATGGGGCAGAAAACATGTAGGTGTAGGTTGACAAATGAATGGGAAATAAGGAAGTGTACCCTGGATGTTACTTTGAAAGAGCTAATAGGGTAAAAGGGATAAAGAGAAGTGAGGTCACTAGAGAAATAAGATGAGACTGAATACATTTGAGTGTCAGTGGAAGACTCCAATATAAAGGCTCCAGGAAAGGGCTACGAGTAACTGAAGGACAGAGGTCTCAGCGAAGTGAGGAGGGAATGGCATTCTTTACCACCACCTCAAGATATGAAGGGGGGAAACTACCATCTTATTTTTTTTAACGAAGAAAACTCATACTGGTATTTGTAACTTTGAATAGCATCCATTACCATCTGGTTGGTATAAGAAAGACCAATTCAGTGATTTTAAAAAATGGTAAAAATAAATAAATGAGGAGCATTGCATCTGCATTATAGCTTTACTTGGAGCTTTGGTCATTCAGGTATCAGCATCATCAGATTGTGAACATTGGATACTTTTCAAGATGCAAGTCTTGGTGATTTCTCTTCTAATTGAAGGAGAGACTGATTTCTGTAGAAGACTGAAAAGGTGACCACAAATTCTTTGGGCTCCTCTTACCAAGAGGGGGGCCTATTACTCCACTCCTTAATACTGAGCTGGCTTTGCTGTTGTGTTTGTGCCAGTAGAATGTGGCTGAAGTACTACTTCCAAGGCTAGCCCTGAGCTAAGATGTCCCAGCAGCAGTCCCACCCAAATACAAGGGTGTGACTAAAGTCACAGGGAACCTCCCAGTCCAGCCAACCCTTACTGAAAGAAGCTGCGCCATTAAGCCCACGTGAAACCAATAGGGGAATCGCCCAATTAGCCCATATAAAGTGTTTAAAATAATGAATTGTTTTAAATCACTGGTATTTGGGGCAGCTGTTACATAGCAATAGTGAACTGAAATTATGACCCCGCTACTTTGGCTTGCTGGGGGACTTTCCCACCTGACAGATTTTCTTGCTACAAGGATTTCCTTGCAAGTTTGTAATAAGGTTAAGGGACACCCTCCCACACCAAGTGGTAATGTTCACTGGCTTCTGTGCGTTTTATAATTCACTCTGTCCCATTACTAATTCATTGTATTGCGAACATAAGCGTTCATTCAAAAGCCACACCATGTCTTTAACTTTCATCTTCAAAGGGAAGTTTTAGGCCCTCTGGACAGTGAGGAGGCTACGTAAAGACCTGGTGCAATGCTTGACAGCTGACAAATATAGCTAGTACTGCGGTCTGACTGGTGACCAGACCAGTCAGCCTTCCTGGTGGACTCCCCTAGAATGGCACCTCCAAGCGCCCCCTCCATCCCGACACAGCAGCTCTCCTACCTTCGCCCCGGTGACCCTTATCTCGAATTTGAGCTGGGACC